CCCTTTGTCCTGGTGTTGTAGTGGATTACACAACCACAAGGGCAGCTGTTGGCAACCACCAGTCACGCCATGAGTCTGCCTACTCCCACAAAGCTTCGTGGTCTTAGAAAACCCCCAGGGCAGTTGTACCCTATGCTATGGAGTTTCAATGAGTCAACATGGACTTGATGGCAGTGAGCTTTTCACTTTCCTAGTCTGGATTGAAAGTCACCGTTCCAGATTCTGCTGGGCTTCCCTGAGCCCCCAAGGCTCTTAAGCATGGCTCATATGTCATGATGCTGTTTCACCTTCAAATTACTCCCACCGGCACCTCACAAGCCCATTTCAGCTATATAAGAATTTTGAAGTAATGTGTACCTGAAATAGTGATCACCGTGTTGTTAAGTCTATCCAATCCATTTGATTTAAGTTGAGTCCAGAGCAATTTTGTTGGGAACCTCAGTAAATAATATATCTATTTTAAAACTCAGTTTAGAAAAGGATCTTTGGACTATCCAGTTTATCTCACTATCTTCTGACTTTGGAAATACCAAAGTCGATTCTCTGATGTTTCCTTTCATCTCTCAGCACTCCGTTTTCATCCTGATAACTCAATTGCATCACCGATTATTGGGCAGCCTCCTTTGGCAATTTAAAAGAATTTTTCATTCTAATGTTGCACTCCTTTGAAGATGCTTTTCAGGTTACTTTTGATCACCCCATATCTAGTAAGTAAATCAGGGTCCTCAAACTACGGCACGCAGGCCACATGCAGCCCGCCGAGGATGTTTATCTGGCCCGCTGGGTGTTTTTGCCACCCCCCCCTTTTTTACTTCAAAATAAGATATGTGCAGTGTGCATAGGAATTTGTTCATAGTTTTTTTTTTTTTTAACTATAGTCCGGCCCTCCAACGAGTCTGAGGGACAGTGAACTGGTTCCCTGTTTTAAAAGTTTGAGGACCCCTAAAGTAAATGCTTATTTTCCAGTTAGCTTTCAGAAGACAGAATGAAAACACTGTGAAGCAAAAATTGATACACTGAAAGGAGAAATAAAATCTATAATTATAGCTGGAGACTTCAAGACTCCTCTTTCGACAATTGCTAGAACACTAGACAAAAAATCAGCAACAACCTAGAAGAATGGAGGATTTTTTCACATGCAGAACTGACTTACAAGCTTAGAAATAATCTCTGGACTTTAGAAATGCCTACCAACTTAATAGTTACTGTCTATCCAACCGAAAAGTGGGTGAAGGGAGATGTCAGACAGGGCAAGATATGACAAAATACCAATTTATAAACTATCAAGGGCTCATAGGGAGAGGGGAGCGGGGAAGGAGGGGAAAAATGAGGACCTAATGTCGGGGGTTTAAGTGGAGAGAAAATGTTTTGAGAATGATGTACAAATGCACTTTACACAATTGATGTGTGTATGGATTGCGATAACAGTTGTATGAGCCCCTGATAAAATGTTTAAAAAAAAGTAGTTACTGTCTATCATTTTGACTTCCCAAGGTATCACTAATTTCCTTTTATTTTATTCTTTGAATTTTCACAATATTCTTAGTGCCTTATATTCATTCAATAATTCCACAAATATTTGTTACCACTTGCTAAAGGCAACACATAGAGAGGCCTGGTAACAGTGCTGGTTAGGCATTGGGCTATTAAGCACAAGGTCATTAGTTCAACTCCCCAGACACTCCACAGGAAACCGACGAGGCTGTCTATTCCCACAAAGATACGTAGTCTCCTCAGCCCTGTATCGGGTCATTATGAGTTGGCATCAACTTGATGACAGTGTGTTTTTGTTTTGTTTTTTATAATCAAAACATTGTATTGGAACTATAATTGATTTCGTTCTTTTTGCACTATTTGATCATTCCATTTTAGGTGGGGGGGCTACTTAGCAATAATATGTAGTGTGAATTTAAAAACTGGAAAAAATCTAGAACTAAGTGAGCTAACAAGCACCCTTTACTACTCTTGGAAACTCTTCTCTGAAGAAAAATACGGAATGAAAATTTTCCCCAGTTATATTTGAGGGAAGATAATTGTCACCAAGACAAATCATGCTAGAGCTCCTATGAAAATCTCTTGCTTGAAGATTATAAACTAACTTCCTTTTGTTGAGTCTTTAATTATTACAGCTCCCTTGAATCTTGAGCATCTTCCATGATAAACCTATAAAATCCGCGGCCATCGGCCTCAATAAAGAACTTACTCCTCTCCCTATACCATCTCTGTCATTAGATGGAGGGATGCCTATATATGTATAGGGTTAGAGGAAGTCCTTCAAAGCCACTGCCTCTGTAGAAGGTCTGTGAATGCCCTTCCATTCACTGTCCCAGGCTCTGTCCTTAGGCCTCATAGTCCACAGACCCATTAAACTTGAAGTTTCATAGTCCAAAGACCTTGACATTTTCTTGAAAAAAACACCAACTGAGTCTGGCTAACTGTTTAGACTCTCTGGTTCAGTGGACTTGTTCCCTGGGGTCAAGACTTTTTTTTCTATCCACAAGTATCCAGAAAGGCCTCCTGAGGCATTAGCCTCAGTGCAATAAGCCGTACTGTCCCGGCTACTGAGGTATAGATCTCTCGCTTTCTTTTTCTCTTTCTTCTCCTTGTCCTTATGTTTGTAAATCCTTAGATTTGTATTATTTAGATGCCTTTACTATTAGATGTGACATTGCCATTCTCACATCTGGCCCAAACTGCCATGACTTAGGTGAGTGATTGGTTGGTTGGTTGCTGGATTGACTTTTCTGATCATGATTCTAGGTTCAAGGGGATCCAAAAAGTTCATGGAAAGACATCAATTGTCTTTTAATCCTATTGTTCCCTGAACTTTTTGAAGCCCCCTCATACAAGAATCACAGACTCTCTCTCCTGGATTTATGGATTCTCAAACACTAATTGTACACTGGAATCACTTGGAGATATTTTATAACACAATGATGCCTGACCTCCACCTTCACTGATTCTGACTTAATTTGGTCTTGGGTCTCCAAGACTTGCCAGAATTTCTATAGAGAGCTAAAACATAGCTCAATCACAGATCGGAGATGTAAATCCTTTCCCTGCCATTGAGAAATCTAGAATGATGCCTCTTCTTGGAATTACAAACCTGGGTAATAGCATCTTTCAGATAATGTTCTTGTAGTATGCATGTGCTGCACTGCTATTATAGAGGGAAGTAGCAGGTCATGGTTAGTAATAGACTCAAACCCCCCTCCCCCCAAAATGTACATTGTGCTCACCTGTGAACCTTCCTCATGTCAGGGAAATGAAAGTATGCTTCTGGGTCATTGGCCCTCAACCAGGGCAATTTGCTTCCCAAGTGACATTTGACAATGTCTGGAGACACTCTTGGTTATAGTTTGAGGGGTGTTACTTGCATCTAAGGAACCCTGGTGGTGCTGAGAGTTGGGCGTTGGGCTGCTAACCACAAGGTAGGCCGTTAAGTTCACCAGCCTCTCCATGGAAGAAAGATGAGGCTGTCTACTCCAGTAATGATTTATACACCGGTAAACCCTTTAAAGAAACCCAGAACCAACTCGATGCTTAGGAGCTTGACTAGCATCTAGTGGGTTGAGTTTAAAGGTGGCTCTAAATACCCTACAGTGTACAGGACAACCCCTACAGCAAAGCTTTATCTGGGTCAAAATAGCTACAGTGTTGAAGAAAAGAAACCACTTCCCAAATCTTTGCTCAAAGTCCCCGAGTGGTGCCAATGTTTAAGCTCTCAACTACTAGCCTCAAGTTTGGCAGTTCAAACCCCCCTAAAGGTACCTCAGAAGGCGGGCCTAATGATCAGCTTCTGTAAGGACACAGCACTGAACACGTGACGGATGGAGCAGTCCAACTCTGCCCACACAGGGTCTCTATGAGCTGAAATCAATGGCGAGTAACAAAACAACAACAGTGAGGTTCTGTTTCTCAGTTCCTCCTACCTCCTGCGGGAAACGTCACCCTTAATGGAATCCTTCGTTTTCCTTTCCTTCCATAGCATTTTTCAAGTCCATGTCTTACATCCTTTCCAAGTAGTCCCTGAACGTGAATCCTGCTTTGCTGTTAAGCAATGAAGGCTGCCGCCTGTCAGTGTGCATCAGAGAGACAGAGTAACTCCAGAGCCGCCTGTCCCCCCTGCTGCTTCCTGTCCCTGCTGGCTTCCTCTCTGAAAAACAGCACGAGCTGAACCCTGTTGCCTCCTGGAGGCCTGGCCAGCCGGCTTTGACCAGGTGCCACCAGCTTGGGGTACAGGCTACCCTGGGAGCTGTATCTGGAAGCTGCTAGGCTTATCAGCTGCCAACCACCTGGGTCAGGTTGATTAATAAGTGCTGGCCTGACCCTTCTCGTAGGGCCTGAACCTGCTGGTTTCCCTGCCCACTTCCTTAGATCATTTCATTATTAAATTAAAGATTGTCATGATTCAAACTGAACCATCAGGCAGCCTGGGGACAAACTGGGTTTGGTGAAGCAACTGAGCCCGAGACTGCATTTACCAAATCCAGTCTCTGCCGGGGGCTTTTTCTTTCTTTTAAGGAAATAATTCAAAGCTCCCAGGGCTGGAAGTAGGAGTGGAACTTTCCCTCCAGCGTCAGGAGCCCACACAGGGAGGCTGGCATGGCAGGAAAGGGAGCTGATTAGGAATAGCAGGAAAGGCAGCATCCGTCGGAGCTCACTGATCTGCTGAGCAAAATGTTGAAAGAAACAAACAGCTTCTGGCAGAGGAAGCAGTGAATAGAAGGATGGTTCTTTTAAAAAAAAAAGGTTTAAAGTCCTCAGGAAGAAAGATGGCTTGTATGCATATAGGTGACAAGACATATACATGAGCCTCCTTCTCCTACCCCCACCACCCAGCCCAACAAAGCCCTTTTATAAGGAAATGATGGATAATTACGACTTTCAAAACCAGGAAATCAAAAGTAGTCAGAGCGTGTGTGATTGATGACATTTGTTTAGGGGCTCTGGTTTCCCTCCTGAAGTCATCTCTCTGTATGCTTTGTACCCCTCTCCAGCTCAGGTGGAAGCCCTTTGAGATTCCAAAAGCCTCTCAGAAGAAAGTGGACTTTGTGGGCGTAAGTAGACCCTGCTCACCCCTCCCCACCACCCTGCGCTCTCTTGTGGGGAGGGGTCAGGCACTTGCAGTTGAGTGCCCAGCAGAAGGGGACTCAGAGGGAAGCACAGAGACAAAAACCCACTTCCTTTGGTGCTCTGGTGGCCAGCTGAGCCATGTCGTACTCACAGACCCCTGCGGTCCCTAACACTGAGATGCACTCGGCAGCTATTTGCAACATCTCCGCAAAGCCAATGGAAATGGAATGTTTACCCATCTCAAGTTCCTCTGGGCTCTTAATCTTTCTCATTCCATGGACCCCTTTGAGATTCTGGTGAAGCCTATGTTTCTAAATGTTTATACATCTATAACCATATCTATATTTATAAATTTCATAGAAATACGAAGAAGACAATTCTTCCAATATAGTTCGAAGATTTGTCCCCATGGTCAGCAGTTCAAACCTGCTTGCTGCTCCATGGGAGAGCTGCTCATAATGAGTCTCAGAAATCTTCCGCGGCAGATCTACCCTGTCCCTGTAGGGTCACTATGACTTGGTGTGGAACTTGAGTTTGGTTTTGAGGGGTTTCTTTTGGACATGAGCTCTGGTGGCACAGTGGTTAAAACACTCCACTGACAACCCAAACAATGTCAGTGGTTCAAACCCACCAGCTTCTCCAAAGGAGAAGTCTGCTCCCACACAGATGAGAGCCTTGGCACCCCCACGGGGGCAGTTTTACAGGGTCGCCGTGATCGGAATCGCTTCGATGACAGTAGCTTTGGTTTGGGCTGCTCACCCTCCCTGTTGCAGAGTTCCTCCCTAAACCTCCTACATGTCTAATCTTACCTGCCTCCGAATCTCTCCTTCAGGCTGATCTTAAACATCAATCTGGTCAAATGCCAAGTATGACCCAAAGCGCTGCACAGTCGCCAATTGAGACGACCCAGACTTAGGGACATGGCTGGCGGCTAATGTGAGCCACCACCTGTCAAACCTAAGTCAGTGAATTGCAGGTTCTCAGAGGCAGCCCAGGTCCCAAAGCTCCCATGTGTCCCAAAGGGACACTCTGGAAGGACCTAGGCTCTCAGGGACCAGGCGTGGGGGCTGGCCTCTGTGGCGTTGCTCCCATTCACATCCACTCTCATGCTCCTCCCTCCCAGGGTCTGCACACCTTGTGTGGGGCTGGAGACATCAAGGCTAACCATGGACTTGCCGTCCACATGTTCCTGTGCAACACCTCCATGGGGAACAGGTGAGGCTCCCAGGGCCAGGGCCGGGCCGTCCTATTTCCCAGGGGCTGTTGACCAGAGGTGAAGGCCAGTTGTTGCTCTCGCAAAATCACACGTGCACATGTACTGTTTCTAAGGTGGTTTTGTACCCCTCCTTGTTTCCATCTGAACTGACTCGTGGCGTAAACAAGGATGTGACATGACCATGCAAATCCATAGTAGTGAGAGGATCGAGCCCTGGAAGGTGGGGTTCATCCAAGAGGTGTTTGACTTTAACCAGAGTTGCATCAGAGGATCCTAATTCTAAATTTCTCAAGGGCTTCTCTGGAGTCCAAGCGTCATCTGGGGGCACAGGTCAAGCTGACAGATTGGTTTGGGGTGATACCTTTGGGTAAGTTGAAAATGCCTAAGTAGAGGAGCTTGCACATTGGCCTGTATGCTTTTAATTAATATGTGTGTGTATACATATGTGACATAGATAGAATTTCTGCTTTCTATTTGGAAAACAGATGATCACAGTGGCCTACCTCAGCAAACAGACTGCTTGCAGTCAAAGCTCAACCCCACTCTCTCTGACTGAGACCTTAGGGAAGTTGTTTAACTTCTATGAGTTACACATATCTCTGAGTCTGGCACAGAGCAAGCACTCAACAAACGTGAGCGATTATTACCTTCATTCAAACAAAACTCACATTCAACACCATCGTGTTGATTCTGACTCATAGCGACCCTGTACACAGGGTAGGAATGTCCCTGTGCGTTTCCAAGGCTATAACTCTTTATGAGATAGAAAGCCTGGTCTTTCTGCCTCGGAGGAGCTAGTGGATCTGAACTGCTGACCTTGCGGTTAGTAGCCCAATGAGTAACCATGATGCCACCAGGGTTCCTCTACCTTCATTGATTAGAGCTGTGTTGTACAGTCTTTACAGTGTTTTGCTATTGTTGTTATTCTTTCTATACACACCATATGAGTTCTTTTAAATACCGTCCCTATTTTACAGTCACATTCTTTTTCTCAACTTTGCACTTGTTTGTTTGCCTGGTTTACTGAGAAGGAGCTCTTCACTCACTATCTTCAGCCTGTATCGGTGATAAGGTGTTAATGTTAAGGAAGCTCATCATATCAGCAAGGCCCCCATAAATTTTTTTTATTTTATTTAAAAATCTCAGATTTTTAAAACTAAGATTCAGAAAGCCAGAGGTGACTCTGCGAAACCACCCAAATGCTGGTACTTACAGAGTTGATCAATACGGCCACTGAGCTTTCATCCCAGAGCCCTCGGGAGCATAGTGGATTACATGTTGGGCCGCTAACTTCAAGGTCAGTGCTTTGAAACCACTAGCTGCTCCATGGGAGAAAAATGAGGGTGTCTACTCTCGTAAAGAGCTATGATCCCGGAACCCACAGGAGCAGTTCTACTCGCTGTGTTAGTCTGGGTACTTTAGAGAAACAAATCCACAGAAACTCATATATGCGACAGTTTTATATAAAGATTAAGTGCTCATCAAGAAAACATTCCAACCCAGTGCTGCCCAAGCCCACAAGTCCAACATTAACCCATATGTCCAACACCAATCCACAAAGTCCTCCTCCATCTCACAAAACGCACACTATGATGCCGACTGCAGGAGGAAAGCTGAGTCAGTGAATGTGTAAGCATCTAAGTGCTGGCAGGGGTCACCACACGGCTGCTCCAGCACCCAGGGCTGCATCGGGGTAGGTCCATGTGGCTTCTCCTCAGGGATGTCTTACAGGAAGTGAGCCTTACCAGCTGAAGCCGGGAACTAGCTAAGGCAGCTGCACCCTAGTCTGACCATCAGAAAGCAAGAGACCAAAGAACTAGAAAGGCGAGGCTCGTTGAGCCATTTAACCCTCCACCCTTCAATTAACCTCACATGTGCTTATCGGCCAGGTTGGCACAATTAACTACCTCAGTCACTAAGAGTCAAAAATGACTCGCTGGCAGGTATTGGATTGAGGACCTTTAGTTAAACATTTGGCAAAAATGTACAATGGCCCAAGGCCCAGCCCCCAGCTCTGTGACAAGGCCCTGGAGAGCTACCTGAGGCTCAGCCTCACCTCAGCAGCCAAGCCCCCTCTCCGCTTGAGCCACCCACCTGCCAGGTGGCCTCTTGCCTGAGAGAACTTGCGTGTACTGTTCTCTCTGCCGGCAATGTGCCCCTTGTCCCAGCTGCGGATGACTTCAGTTATGTATCACACGTCTTTGCAGACTCTGTCGCTGCCGTCAGACCCCTATCCTTTCAGTCCTTGAACTTGTCCTTCACAGTGCCATGACAGTTGATGACGACATGGTTCTTGCTGTCGGACCCCCACTTGCTCTAAACTTCATGAGGACAGAGTCTGTGAGCCTTCCATTTCTCAGCCAGCACTAACAGACACTGTGGCGGGAGTTGCTTTGTCTAGATTGTGCTAAAACTGGACATCTCTGGTCTCACCTTTTTATCTTCCAGGTGTTTTTACAATTCTGATGGGGACTTCTTAATTGGTGAGTTCTGAAGATTGCAGACCCTTCACAGCTCATTGATCCTGCGTGGGAAGCTGCTTTTTCCCTTTTTCTTTCGTGTATGCCCATTCTTTCCCCTCACCTTCCAATCTGTCTGATTTCATTTAGTGCAATCGCTCAGCTGAGCTCTGAAGGCCAGAAGCAAGCCCTCGTGTGCCTCAAAGCACGAGCTGGATTGGCTGGGCTCTCTGTCTTGGCCCATCTCAGCTGGGCCTGCTTGATGTGGGACATATGAGTAGTTGAGAAGAAATGAAGGTTAATACTATGAAGTCACGAATTTATTAAAAGCATTCTATTTGTCTTCAAAAACCACCCAAGAAAAGACAGATTCTTGCTATCTGTAATTCATTGATATCTGTAATTTAAATACGCAATTTTCTAAGACCATCTAACAGGCAGTAGTGGGGAAAAGATGAGGTTTTCTGTTCCCAAAAGAATTATAGTCTCAGAAACTCACCGGGGCAGTTCTACCCTATCTTGCAAGGTCGCCCCAAGCCAGCAGTGACGCAATGGCAGTTAGTTTCGCTTTTGAAAAGTGCAGTTATCTGTTAGCGATGGCTCTGCTCTGCCCATTCTAGTTGGTGGCTTCAGTGTTTGTATGCTGACCGTAGACACAGGAAGGCCAGCCTCCCTCTGGAGCCATCAGAAACGAGTGGTCTGCCATCCTATGTCTGCAACCCTTTTTAGTCAACCCAGGGAATCATGTCGATCTAAGCTTCTTACCTGAAAACAACAAAAGGAAGCCAGTTTTTCTTTTTTCCTTCATGTGATTCTAGACCTTTCATCCCAATTGTCAGAAAACACAATCTGGAGATGGCGCGAGACTCAGTAAAGCTCCTGCCATGTGGAATGAAAAGACCACGATAGCTTGAGACTTAGAGCCTTGGCTCTGGGAAATGGCCCTCACACAAAAAGGCTTGCTCACCACTGCCCTGTCTTTTGTGTCAGTTCCCCAGAAAGGGACCCTTCTCATTTACACCGAGTTTGGCAAGATGCTGGTGGAGCCCAATGAAATCTGCGTCCTTCAGGTTGGTGAGGAGCCCCTTCCCCCTCCCTCTCCCCGCTGGGAGTTAGTGAGACCAAAGCATTCAGATGTTGCAGCTGCTATGCCTGGCGGTGAGGAGGGGGCTTGACTTCCCCAGAAGGCTCCAGGTGGAGAAGGGTACGCAGGCTTAGGTGTCGGCTCTGTTTTAAAATACCAAGCACTCAAGCACAGAGCTTGGTCGATTCTCTTTCTCAAATACTCATCTACTGTCTGGATTAGGTTGTTTCCATGGAGAGGGAATGAGGGAGGCTGTGCAGGTGAGTTTCTTCATAATGTGGCCAAACCAGGCCAAATGACAGATGCGCCTGGAAGGAGCTTGGGTCATAGATAGGGTGGGGAGCTGAGCCTTCCTCTTACCTCATGTTTAAGTGCATTGCCTACAGGGTTACTCGTGCCTGTGGGGCTGGAAGTGGCTCTGGGGAAGCTTCTTGACAACCACAGGTCTGATTTCTCGGTGTGTTTGTATCTCTTTCCAGAGAGGAATGAGATTCAGCATAGATGTCTTTGAGGAGACCAGAGGTTATGTCCTGGAAGTCTACGGCGTCCATTTTGAGTTACCTGACCTGGGACCCATTGGTAAACTTTACTATAATTCGCTAAGCCTCGACTGAGACACAGGGCACAGATGGAAGTTAAACTGCCTTCCCCTCTCACTAACTCAAATTTCCAATTTCCTGTCAAGGAAACTTCTTCTCCAGAACAAATGTAATTTGGCATTTCAGACATCTGCTCCCTGAGCCACCACCACCACCACCACCCCTGACCCGGCTTTCTTTTTTAGACCTCTAATTGTCTGAGGTTTCATGCACTATAGCGGACCGACTTATGAACTAAAACCTCCATTCATTAACCCCTCTGAGTGTCCACCCATCAGCTAGGCTCGGCACCCCTGTGCTGAGAATCACACAAGTCTCTTCTAAAATGAATGCGTTACAGAAAACAACCCAGGCCAACCCATTAGAGTTTTCTCTCTCGAGCAGCATATACAGCAGTGAAGAGCAAGGCTGGAGTCACTTTCTGCTTGAACAATGTGTGCTGCAAAGGGTGTACAAGTTCAAGGTATGGTAGACCAGGGCCACCAGAGGTAGCATCAGAGACCAAATGGCATTGAGCTTATTTGTGATGAGAAGTAAAGCGGAAAAAGAAAAGCTTAAGCAAAAGCCTGTGAGTGGGAAGAAGCTTCCTGAACAGGAGGGAGCTCGTTCCCCTAAGCTAATAACGGGCTGTGTATAAATAATAAAATGGGGAAACTAGGAGGTGTCTGGGACTATATTCCTATAGAGAGATGGGGACAAACGGAGGAAAGCGCATAGTCTAGAAACATCACATGCTTACTGAATACACGCCACAAAAGACCACACACTCAACCGGCAGAAAGGTGCACACCCAGGGCTAAGGAGGAGAGAGCAGCCACAGACCCTGGGGAGGCAGAGCAGAGCTTTCCAACTGAGCTCAGGCCCCTCCCACGCGTCTGGCAAGCTGGAGGGAGGACATGCGGGAGAGAAGTGAAGCGGTAGGAGGGGCTGCTCCCCAAACATCTCTTGGGATGAAAGGAGTGGCTGGAAAAATGGGCTCGGGTTTCATCTTCCACATGTTTCTTGAAGGTGGTGGCCACACCTCCCTCCTTTGTCAACAGCTTTTTAGAGTGGAAACAAGGACAAGCCAGGGACATGCCTTCTGGTCACTCCCTGGTGGGGTGGGGGGGTGATTCAAATCATCAGAGGAAAGTGGGAGGCAGCAGAGAGGCAGCTGGAGCCCTGGTGGGCTCCAGTTTGCTAGCTTGTCATCCTGCCCGCCACCGTTCTTCCCGCTTTGGTCTGTCTTCCTGTCACTTTGCCGTCAGCCTAGCCCCCGGGATCCATAGCACATGTACCCTCTGGAAAACAGATAATTCACTAACCAGCTGGGGCCTTCTGTGTTTGGACCCCAGGAGTCTGAAAATGATAACACACTCCCCAGGCCTCTCCTCTCAGAGTGAAATTGTGTTTTTGCACTTCTGCTTTTCACTTCGGGTCTTTTGATTTCTTGACTCCCTTTGGAGGGAACACTGGCTCCTAAGCAGAGGTAACAGGCAAATCCTGCAGCCTTTCTTCATGAATAGCAGTCTCGGATTTGTCAGGCCTGAGAGCAGCTCCCGAGTTCTGCCAGAGGAGCAGAGGTCTGCCTAGGGCAGCAGTGTGGAACTCTCCCTTCCCAAGATCAAAGGCACGAGATGATCTCTACAGTCACCCGGATTCCCTAGGAAGGGAACTATGCCTAGTGCCTGGTGCGCTATCAGCTCTTCTCTCCTCCCATCCCTGGCCTGTAGTGAGGAGATAGTGCCTGTGAGCACTTTGTAAGCCCCTCGCACTCTACAACAGCAGAAGGTGACGATGATGATTGTGGGTTATTGATTCCCACCCCCCACCCACCCACCACACCCAGGTCTCTAAATTCCTTGCCTCCCTAAAACTGAGAATGCAACGAAGCCTTTGAACAATGAAAGCAAATTGATGAAGGGATGCTTGACATGAAAGGCTACCCTCTCTGTGTGTCACGGGGGGCATCTCTCTGTGCGGTTTCACGGTGTCTGAAAGACTTTGGGGTTATTCTGTTCCAGGGGCCAACGGCTTGGCAAATCCTCGTGATTTCTTGATACCTGTTGCCTGGTTTGAAGATCGCCACGTGCCAGGTGGTTACACTGTCGTTAATAAATACCAGGGCAAGCTGTTTGCTGCCAAACAGGTAATGTCAGAGGGTCTGCAGGCAAGGAAGCGAATGAGAAGTGTGAGCACCTACTGTTTACCAAGGACAGTGTTTGGTGCCTTCCACTCCACCTCACCGTACCACGAAGGTCCTACCCACGGGGCCCTCGCGCCTTTGGAGCCTGGCAGCACAGCAGCTCCTGTGTCTGCCTGCATCCTCAAAGGAGAAGTGTGAGGCTGTCTGCTCCTGTAGAGACTGACTCTCTGGAAAGACAGCAGGGCCAGTTCGACTCTGTCCCCTCGGGTCACCCTACGTTGGAATCGACTCGATGGCAGTGGGTGTCTTTGGTTTGCTTTGCTTTGTTTGTAGTCATGAAAACAGACCACGTGGGGATAAGATTGACCCAGTGTCCCAATGAGTGGCAGAGTCAGTATGCAAACCCCTGTCTGTCTGACATCAGAGCTCTTTCCACTCACCGACCAAGGGACATCCTAGCAAATGTAGTTTTCCAGAGCTGTATGGAAGACATCACCTCCTGTAAGGTTCTGAAAGGGAAATGATTTAACAAACAGAGCAGCCATGAGTTATGTCTTCCAATGACCAACCGCCACAGTTGAAATACAAGCAATGGTGGCTATAAAACAAGTAGAACTAAGTTAATTAGTTTTGTATGATTTATACCATCACATATAAAAATGCATACCATCAAATACAAAGGAGTATAGTCTTTCTCCTAGAGTTCTTCTTAATATACTGTTTGTTTTCATATCATATATATAATAATCGATTTATAACGACTCCACTGCTGTCGAGTTGATTCTAACTCATAGCAACCCTATCGATCTGACTCATTGCCTCCGTAGGTTCCCAAGACTAATAACTCTTTACGGAAATAGAAAGCCTCATCTTCCTCCTTCCAAGTCGCTGGGGGTATATAATACACTAGATAAAATAATGTCATAAAAATCTATTAAAATATAAATCTTTGTAAAATATAACCTTACCATTATTTATTTGTTCTCATTCTGTTTCACTTATTGCTCTTATTTACCAGGCATGTTATCTTCCTTGGGCAGCATCTAGAGAGGAGGGCAGCAATCAGCAGAGGTCAAATAGTTTAGCACTTAAATGTACCTCCGGAGATGCACACACACTTAAATTGCCACCTTCCTATTCTCATTTCAAAGCCCGTGGGAATCACTTGCCTCAGAAACTCCCATTTAAAATGCAGATTCGTAGGTCCTGGGAATCTATATCCGAGCCGGGGACAGCGAGAGCAATGAAACCCCTGAGGACTCAGTGTGGAAATGGACAGGCACTTTAAGCATGTCTGCCCAGGTGACTCTGCCCATCACTTCACGGAGACCCACATCCTAGAATGGAGCCCTGGAGGTGTGATGCTTAAACACTTCTCTCCTAACTGAGCATTCAGCAGTTTGGACCCACCGGCTGCTCCGAGGGAGAAAGGGCCTGGTGGGCTGCTCCAGTGAAGATTCCTACCCAGGAACCCCCACGGGGCAGTTGTCCTTTGCCCTACAGGCTCGCTATGAGTCAGGAATGACTTGACACCAGCCAGCAGCTTGTTGGATTTCCACTTTCAAAGTAGACCGTCTGCTGCTTATTCTCTGTGTGAGTCCCCGCTGATCCATTCTCTCTTCTCTGCCCAGCTCTGTGCCCTGGGAGGTTGACCTACATGAATTATATCACTAGGCTCCCTAGCCAGCTGGCTTCTAGTGGGTTCAAGCAATGGTGGCACCCCAGGCAATTGGAGAGAGGAGGGAAAGGCAAGATGAAGCATTCCTTCCTCTGCTTCTACCCTCGGAGGGATTGTATTTCTGGAAGTGGCTGTGTGACCTCAGTTCCCATTAGGGAGCCCCTGTGATGTGCTGGATCCCAAAGAGCTCACGTCTACATCTCTTCCCAACTCTGTGTTCAGTGATGTCCCACTGGAAACTTAAAATCAACCATGTTGAGAATAGTCATGCCCTTACATTGTAAACGTTACAAACCAGGGCACCCAATACCACCCCCAACCCCACCAAAAGCTGGTTACTAAATATCTGCTAGCAACCACTGAGCAACCTCTTTCTCCCTGGTTCTAGCTCTTACTAGAGTCCTGTGTTAACATGTCCTCTCTTATCCTTGAGGCCTTAGAGTGTAACGTCATTCCACCATTGCTAGCCTTTGATATCTCAACATCTCCCGTCCGTTCACTTAACCCAACCATACTTCTGTGAGTCGTTAGACCATTCTGAGTCAGATTCCCTTTTAAGACAGATTTCTAGCTACTGTGGATACTATACTGCCTTTCTAAACAGAGCACCACTCTTCCCCCACCCAAGAGCAGGGCCGAGAAGCTTCGCCTTCTGGTTGCTCTGAAATCTCACTTCCCCTCAGAAACCTTCTCCCCTCTCTTGTGCTCATCAACCCAGACACTCTGAGTGGTGGAAGCCCCTCTGGACTGCAGTTGCCTGGAGGAGGATGCCAGCTCCTGCTCTCTGTGCCAGGAAACGCAGAAGGGGGCCCAGGCTATTTGAGAATCCACAGGTTCTCACAGTTGTGTTCAAAAGTGTTAAAAAGGCACTACTTGAAGGATGTGCTGTGCTGTGCTGTGCCATGCTGCTGCTGCTGCCACTGCACATGTGACCAGAAAACAGCGACAGCTTCTGAACTGGGAACAGAGGGCTAAGTGAGGGCCCAGTAGAGGAGGTGTGACGCCACCATGGAATGGTGCCGTGCTCTACTTCTCCATAGGGATGGAATCCTTAATTTATGAGGGGTGAAAAATCAAATAATAGAAAGCAAGCATGATGAAAAATCCGTACTGAGGGACACAGCTACAAAGCACCAAGGTTCTGTACCCTCCTTTCTACATTTTGTCATCAGGATGTCTCCCCGTTCAACGTGGTGGCCTGGCACGGGAACTACACGCCCTACAAGTACAACCTGGAGAACTTTATGGTGATCAACGCAGTGGCCTTTGACCATGCAGTAAGTTAGGACCCTTTCAGGACCGCTGGGGATTGGGTAACCTTTGGGTGGGATGGGCTCAGAGTATCCCTTTGACATTCATAGATTTAGTATGTCCTGTGTCACCCTGGGCTGGCCTCGATGCAGTCGCTCGTCTTGAGCTGGCCGGCATAGGAATTATTGGCAGCAAGGCTTTGATGGAGGAATCTGTTAGACAGCTATGGAGGGAGCCAAGCCAGACCCTCAACACTGACCTTGAACTCAACTTGGTTCTCGCAAAGTCTACTCACAGTGACACACACAGACGGGAGAAATTTGGTTTCGTTGCGGAAACTATATCCTCCAAAAGAAAGCCACCTGCTAATGCCAATGATACAGGACGAGGAAGGAAACTAAAGATTTGGAAAGATGCTGGCCTGATGTCTCCCAATTATCGGGAGGCCACTCAACTTGTCTTGGTGCCTCCAGCCTGGCTCTATTGAGCTGTGATGGAGTAGCCAATTTTCTTTTTAAGCCACTCGGAGCTTACATTTAAACCAAAGAAATTCTAGAGCATGAACTTGGTCAGATGTTTTACTCAGTTAAGGGGCCCCGAATAGGTCTCTGGTCTATTGCATAGACCCCCATGGTCCCACCTTCTTGATTAAGTGCTCATTCTGAGATCCTAGGGGAAAGGGCATTGTGCAGCCTGGGTTATCATCGATGAACTTATCTCACAAGCTGGAGGGATAATTAGAGCAGATGCCAGAGAACCAGAGACAAATAGATTACTCTGAACCCCTTCAACTTGTCCCCGGGGGGAACCAAACTACCTTTGTTGAAGAGCAGCACCTGTTAAGAAAGCCAAAGGGGAAAAAGAAAAAGGATCCTGGGACACTGATGGAACTTGGAGTCCCACTACCCTTTCTTTAATCGTTTCCGATCATTGCCCGCAACAGATGAGGTTAGCTTTGGTAGTAATAAGGGTTAGCTTTTGAATCTGAATTTATATAAGTCCCCTCTCCTTGTCCTGCTGCTGAAGTTATTCTTGCAAAATTCTAATCTGCTCATTCTACCATTGCATTCGAAAGCCTGTGCAGGTACCCCTGGGGTTGAGGATTAAGCCTGAGCTTTGGAGCATGGTGTCTGATGCTCTTCGCCATCTGGCCTTGAACTCACGTGCCAATACCACCTCTTGCCCTTCTCCCTGGCCAAGGCACCCTGGGCTCAAGCCTCCCCTCCACTCAACAAAAGCTCTGGCCACTTTGGTGTCTGCTGTTTTCTAGAATTAAATTTTCTTTCCTCCTTTTTTTCCTCTCTCCCCTCCTCCCCCTTCCCTCATTTTCTTTCTTCCTATTTTCCCTTCCCATCTTTATTCTTTTCTTTCCTCCCCCTGCCCCTCCATTCCCTTTCCGATTCTCCTGTTTATTTCTCTGCATCTACCTCAAATGTCACCTCTTTCTTGAAGTCTTGCGTGATCTTTTCGGGTGGCACGGTGGGTTACTTGTTGGGCTGCTAACCTTAAGGTCAGCAGTTCCAAACCACCAGCTTCTCCATGAGTGAAAGATGAGGCTTCCCACTCCCATCAAGAGTTACAGCCTCAGACCCACAGGGGCAGTTCTGTCTACCCTGTCCTATCGAATCAAGTCCCTGGCAGTGAGTTTGAGTCTTCAACACCTGAGATCTCTGTTTGGAAAGCTAGTGGGTCCAGGCATTTGGTGGGGACTGGTTGCTGCCCCTCATCCAGCTTCCTGCACCCCACCTTCAACTACTCTCAATTCTAAGGAGACAGGAAGCAGAGCTCAGTGGTTGCTTGCTGTTCTCGCTATGTCCCAAGTTGGCATGTGGAAGTTAACACGATGTTTTATTTCAAGTAAACTGAAGCTCCATTCTTTTCCGACTAGACTCCAACTTTGATGGAGTCTAAAGTTCTCTGAAAATCAGAATAGTGTCCCCCAACCTAGTCCCATCAATACTGCTACCCCCAAATGAATGAAATTTGTGATATAGTTTAGATTCGTGAGTCAAACAAGAATAAGAAAGCAAGGAAATCGCTCTCAGACTTCCAGCCCAACGCAGCCATCTGGAATCTCTGTTTCCCCAACGGGAGGCTCCTTCTCCATCTACGTGGGAGCCCGATGTCAGCTTATATCTATTTCTACCTTACTGGGAAGCGCTCTCTGCCCAGAGCGCTCTGCTACCCTTCTCTGCCCTGGTCATCCTGCCCTGACGTTGGAAGGCGGGACCACTGAGTACCAGGCCCCAGGGTTTTACATTGCTTGAGATTTGGTCTCAGCAGGGGGAAAGCTGCTCAGAATCCTCCTAGTAAGTGTTAATTCATTTTGCTTCTAGCCCAGCAAGAGAGGGAAAGCAGAAGAGTGATTATGGCACCACGGCCACAAGTCCAGACTTCTTAGCCTGGCTCATGTGCTTTGATCAGAAATTAGGCCGTCCCCTGGAAGCACCTTCCTGGGCGGGTGACTTGGGTGGCATTGTCCAGTCCCCTCGCTTGTGTGTATCCTGTTCTCAACCTCTCCTTGCGCCCTCACAGGACCCATCCATTTTCACTGTGTTGACTGCCAAGTCTCTCCGCCCTGGAGTGGCCATCGCTGATTTTGTCATCTTCCCACCTCGCTGGGGGGTCGCTGATAAGACCTTCAGGCCTCCTTATTATCACAGTGAGTCTCTCTGTCTGGAAAACACAGCCAGCAGAGCAAAGCCTTGAACGGAGTAGCGTGTGGCCTGCTCCCGTGGCGACATCTTGCCCGGGGTATTTCTGCCTTGAGTACAGGATCCAACCTGCTGGGTTCTGGTGCTTCAGCTCAGACACTAACTGTGCCAAAGCACAGCTTCCACACAGTGTCGGGAATGTGTTGACTCTGAGAAGGAGTCTGGTTTCTGTGGCCCCAAAGAGAGGCTGGCAAGTGGGACCTTCCTTGACGTGGAGATTTCGTTCTGTTTTTAATCTGCTTCTTCTGGGGGAGGGCGTGAAGATGCTAGAGATGTTGTTAGTTAATTAGTCTGCTGTTTGGGGAAAGCTCATTATCTAAGTCTGGTTCGAGAGCTAATGAGATGTGCCTTCTCCAATTATTCTGGTGGGGTTAAGCCGACTGCAGTCTGTCCTAGGGATTGGACGCTATTCGGGCCTTTGTTGCCTAGAACAAAACCCCAGCCCCACTGCTCGGGAGTCTATTCCAATTCACATCAACCCTCCATAGGGCTCCCAGGGCTAGAAATCTTCCTGGGGACAGAGAGCTTTGTCTTTTTCCTGCACAGCTGCTAGTGGAGTTGAGCCACTGACCTTGTGGTTAGCGACCCACCACTTACCTGACAGTGCCACTAGGACGCCTTATTTTTATCACCACCACTACTAATAGCTAACAGTTATTGATCATTTTATGTTACCTTGTTAGTCAGTCTTTAATCTTTATGACAGCTGAAATAGATAAATGGCATTGTCATTCCTCCTATATTGTCAAGGTTGAAAACTGAGACAAGAAGAATTAACTAGAATGTTCATGGCCTCAGAGCTGGTTATCAGTACCAGTTGTTGTTGCACTGTTTCAGATTGATGGCATTTCCATGTCTTCAGAGTAGAGCTATGCACCATCAGGTGCCCAAAAGCGTTTCTTCTGAGCTGCATCTGAGTGTATTTGAACCATCAACCTTTTGGCAAATAAGCCAAGTGCTTAGCCACTTGTACTGCTCAGGGAAAGTAAGAGGGTGGGATATAGCTGCAGGTGGTCTGATGCCAGAGCTGAAAGTCATGGCCACCCGTTGCCATGCCTACCACAGTACGTGTACATAGAGCTCTAGAAAATTCTGAGGTTCATTTCAATGGAAACTTCTAGTCTGCTCCTAGACTAAACCGATTTTACAGTCTCAAAAACACTAAGGAGCAATGCTACTCTACCTTATAGGGTTGCTATAAATTAGATTAGACTTGAAGGTATGGCTTTTCCTTAATTACAGAACCCCTCCTCTCTATGTTTGTATGCACCAGCTTCTGGGTGCCAAGTATCAACAGTGTGGCACAGAGCACTACGTAGGTGATTGTGGTATTTGTAGAGGGCAGGGAAGTAAAGTCCTCATGACCACTTCATGGTCCAGTGACAGCACTTTTTTTTCCCCCTGCATGACACTACAATCGTAGAGAAAAGGAAACAATTACATCATTACAAAGATAATAGATGCTTTGTGACTGGAGTCGTCATTGTAGCTCTGTCCTTTCTCAAGAGTGTCAGACCCGTCGAGAGTCCTCCTCACTGTTATTTTCCTGGAAGTCATTCCCTTCAAGCACCTGCTGTCACCCAGAGAGACTGGCTCTGGCTTGTAGCCTGTACAGCCAATGCTCGCCCTGGATACTTTAGTAATTCTTTGTGACCTTCAGATATAGTGCTTCTCAATGTGTAGCATGGAGCAGAGTCACCCAGAGTCCTTACGAAGACACAGACCCCTGGGTGCCATCTCTGGTTCCATAGGTCTAGGCTGAGGCCTAAGAATTTGCATTTTTGACCAAGTGGTGTTCATGCTACTGTTCTGGGGACTATACTTTGAAAACATTCCCAAACTAAACTCAACCCACTGCCCTTGCGTCCATTCTAGCTACTACCTAGAATAATGTTGATTTTATTTTTTAAGCATATTTTTCAAGGCCTGTCCCCAGAGAGTTTAATTAGGTGGCTTGGGAGTAGTACCGAAAAATCTGCATTAGCAAGGCAGACAAGCTACGGGATTCTGATGGAGGCGGTCTATACATGGCTCATTGAGAAGCACTGGCCTGAGGCTTGCTTCCCCATCCATCTAGGTAGCGGGATCAGGGTAGGGTCCAGGTATGTATTCTTTTTATTTATAACAGTTTTATTGCCATATAATTTACATATCATACAATTCAATGGTTTAAACATATTAGAAGAGTTATGTTTTGTATGATTTTCTGTACATGAAATCCAACAGACAGTAACTGGATTGATCATTGCCTAGGGGGATGGCAGGGGAGGATGTGGGGAATGGGAAATGGGTAGCTAACAACGAATATGAGACGGGGGAAAAAAGTGATGCAAGGATCATCCATTTTAGAACATTTTCTTCATTCGTATACTCACGATTATTAGCTACCCATTTCCCCCTAACCACCCCTGCAAAAACCCTAAGAAACTGTTAATCCAGTTACTGATTTACCTATCCTAGATTTCAAATACAGGAAAACATACAAAAATAAATCCCAGCAACAATAACAAAGTAAAACAGAGAAAAAACTTCAATCATCAAGAAAGTAGAAAATAATAAAAAACGGAACAAATTTTAAATGGGTCAAAAGGGAGTAAAAATGATAAAGCATTGGATTTTAACCTAACTACATCGGCATTAGTTCACTTTCCAGTGGTCTCGATCTGATATTCATGTCCCTGGACCCTGATCAGATTATGTAACTACCACAGAGGGTTAACCCACATGAGGCTTCTGCAAATGGATTTTGGACTTCCACTGTCATCCATCGCTTTCTGCAAATGGTGTACTGAGAATTAAAGCTCTAATACAGTTCCCTCCTTTAGTCTCGTATTTTATTTACAATCCTTAGATCACATAGGCTGGTGTGCTTCTTCTGTGTGGACTTACCTGACATCTCACTTAGATGGCTGCAGATGCTATCCTTTCTGATAGCCAGGCACCATCTACTTTCGTTACCACACTTTGCTATAGCACCCATATTTTCAGTGATCTCTTCATGAGAGCAAGTATCAAGTACTGACTATAGACATACTCTTTTCCCACCATATTACTCCACAGAAAGTGGAGCACAGGTTAGGGACTCAACAAATATTTGTATCTCCACGTGAGTGCTTCTGGGAGTGAGGGAAAAGAGCACTGGCCGCGGGGAACCGAATGACCTCCATTAGGGAGTGAGTAAAGAATTCCAAAGAGGAAGCAGTTCATTTTTCACCTTCGTCAGTCGCTCTTGAGCCCAGCATGTCCTGGATGCACAGCTGCTGTCCCTAATTTTTGTAAAGGGGCTGATTCGAACTAGTTTGGTTCTGTACTAAACAAAAGGCTCTTGACAGAATCCTTAAATTGTGTTTGTGGCTCAGGCTGCCTAAAGTAGTCTTGTGAAATACTTGCTACACTTTTGTAATGACTCTCAAGTAAATTGGACTCTAGGATTGAACTCAGATAGGTATGGCTGCACAGAGTCAGTTGGAAAAATCCCCAGAATCCCCAGTTGGAAATTAGTTGGACCAGAGATATTAAAAATATTGCTTTAGCAATAAAAAATCTTTATACTTTGATATGGCTTTAAAGAAGTGGGAAATCACTTCTGCAAAATATCGCCTTCAGTTATCGTAATGCACTTTACTCATGAAGTGGATTCAGCGTTAATCAGAAAGACAAGGTCTACCCTCCTACTGTCCTTTGAAATATTGAAAATGATGTAGAAATGTCATCACCAAACTCCTTGCTGCCTAAATTCATATGTAGATCAGAGTTGAATTCTGCTCTGCTCTCTTCTTAAAATTAAACCATGAAGATGACCCTGGGGTACGTAAACAGAATGAGGAGCAGGGCAGCACAGCGAAGTCATGAGCCAAACTGCCCTGAAATGTGCTTCCTTTCCTCTCTGTGAAGAAACAGGGCTGTGAGCTGGACCTTGCCCTTCTACGCCCTCCTTGTCTCTGTAGGAGTCTGGAGCAACTTTCTGGTTTATGAGCAGGGTCAGTGTGCCTGCCTAGTCAATTGCAGAAATACTTTGACATTTAGTTATACTTTATCAACAAGGCAAGACAAGTATGCATCATGTCAACTCTTTGACTTTGCAAAGGTTGCCAATGCCATATCTCCCTACCGGGACCCTGGTTTGTACTCTTAGCATTCTCATGAGATAGAATCTAGAGTAAGGGCTATGTCTTACTTGTCTCTGTATTGAGTGCTAACATGGTGTCTAATAATCAGAATAGTTGGGTGGGCTGGTGAATAGGATAGGCAATGAAAGGATGGATAGATGGGTGGGTGGGTTAGATACATTGATGGATGGATGGACAGAGGAAAGAAGGAAGTAGGAAGGAAGGAACAAACAAAGGATGAGTGGCAAAACGCCTCGGTTTGCTCTTTAAGTTTTGCTTTACTTTAATAGGAATAAAGACTAGGGTGGTGGGGGTATAGTGATTATTCTCAAATTGTGTGTGACTCCAAAAAATACAACTAGGACAAACACACTTGGGTGAAGATAAATTTCCATTTACTATAAGAAAGAGCTGGGGGAGTGGGGGGGAATGAGGAGCTGATACCAAGGGTTCAAGTAGAAAGTAAATGTTTTGAGAATGATGATGGCAGCAAAAGTGCTGGACACAGTGGATGGATGGATGGACTGTGATCAGAGCTGTACGAGCCCCCAATAAAATGATTAAAAAAGAAGAAGAAATTGCTTTTAACACTCAGAGCTATTCAATAATATGATAGGTTGCTTTGTAGAGAGCTTTCATTCACAGGAGGCATGCAGGCACAGCTAAGGAGATATTCTGTCAGGTATTACCTAGAAAACACTTCTGAATTAAGTACAAGTAAAGCTCTCTTCCCATTTTAAATGATGGGTTTCTGTGGTGAGAATGTCGATGAAAACAAAAAGAAAGGAGTAAATCTAAGAGAAAATGTTAAGAATAAAAGTGTAAGATGGTATCAGATTTAAATCCAGAAGATCGGATTTTTATAATGTAGGGAATTTATAAGGATTCCTGGGGGAACAGTGGTTAAGTGCTCAGCTGCTAACCAAAAGGTGGATAGTTTGAATTTATCAGCTGCCCTGCAGGAGAAAGCGGTGCCCATCTGCTTTCCCCTTTAAAACATGTGGGTGGTTCTTCTCTGCCCCACAGGCTCCTGGCAGGTCAGAATCAGCTCAATGGCAATGAGAGAGTGTTTGTAGACTGCTTCACAGATAGCAAGATGTTCGCACACAAATCATTTGCTAATCGGCTCCAAGTCTGGGGTTCTTTTGATTACGTCACCTCTCTATCAACACCCACACCCCACTTCAGCTTTCCAGACTAGGTGATGCCAGTACACCCGAACCAAGTCCAACTCATAGGCAACCCCATGTATTTGAGTGTTCAACTGCTCCATTGTGTTTTCTTGTCTATAATCATATATATATATATATATATAAATAGTTTTTATGATATAGCTTACACATTCCAATTTATCCATTCACATACAATTCTGTTGTTCAATCCCATTGGGTGGGATTGATTATTCAGTCACCGATGCTATCTGCTCCCCTTTCCCACCCTCCATACCCCCCTCCCTACTCCCCTACCCTCAGGGAAACACCCCTGCTGTCACCGACTCTGAGGAGTCACCCATCTTGTCCTTTCTGGACAGAGCTATCCTGAAAACACAAATGAACGTACGCTAATCTAACGTGGTCAGTGAGGTAAAACACAAAAGAAAAAAACAGATGCCACATTTCAAGTCAGAAAAAAGCTGAATTCATGAAGCTTAAAAAAAAAGCACATAGTATGGGGAGGCCATGGCTCCAGTCTTAACGAAGCGATCGTCGGGTCTTCCTTCGCAGTGCCTCTGCGTGGGCTCCAGCTGCCAGCTTGAAGGGCTATCGCAGCGCTCCACCGAGGGTCGCGCTGTGAGTTAGCATCAACTCGATGGCAGTAAGCTTGACTCAGGGCTCTTGGTGACACCACACAAAGGAGACTGTTGAGAAGGGGATTGGACCCGGGAGAAAAGAGACCTTTGACATGGGGCTGTAAGCCTAGATGACGGGAATGCATTCGCTCTTTGGTATAATTTACATTTTCATTCTTATTAACATTCTTGTCTGGGCCCAAATGTTCTTAAGACCTAGCCTAATTTCTCCCAGCTACTGGCATGCAAGACCTCTGATAACCCACCTGGGCACGGAACAAAGCTTTGCCTACCAAGACTTCCCCACTGATGAGCGCTCTGTGGGGATCATTTGGGGGATCTGTATTCTTTACTCAGTGTCCCTGAGTGGTGTCGTTAATGCATTCAGCTACTAGCCGAAAAGCCGAGGTTCAGTTCTACCCACGGGCACCTCAGAAGAAAGGCCTCGTGAGCTACTTCTCAGAAATCAGCCATTGAAAACTGTTCTAAAACACAGGCATCCCCATAAGTCAGAGTGGACTGGACTGCGTCCGGTTTACTGGTTGTCCCTTAGGAATCCTGTCAATGTTATTAGACTTGCCTGTCCTCTTAGCACCCTGTCGATATAATGTTCGAGTGCCTTTTGGTGTTTTCCGTGTCTTGTCTCGGATTATAAAACCTATTATGACTTGATCCTTCCCAGGGAACTGCATGAGTGAATTCACGGGACTCATTAAAGGCCGTTATGAGGCAAAGCAAGGTGGCTTCTTGCCAGGAGGAGGCAGCCTGCACAGCGCCATGACCCCCCATGGACCTGATGCCGACTGCTTTGAGAAGGCAAGCAAGAGCAAGCTGGTCCCCGAGAGGATTGCCGACGGCACCATGGTAAGCAAGTTACATACCAAGCACCTGCTGGCTCTTTTCGTATTTCTCCAAAGTCACAGAGGAAGAACCAGGGGAAGAGAGTGTGTGGCTCTGTGGGTCTGTTCACATGAGAGTATGCATAAGCCCCTTGAGTGTACACTAATGAGACTGCTGGCGGGTGTGGCAGAAAGAGCACCGATCTTACAAGCCAAACCAGGGTTCAAGACCAAGCTCCTAGTGCCTGTGTGTCCTTAGACACGTCACTTAACTTCTCCGGGCTTCATTTCCCCCATCCTGAAGACCATTCAAACCAGCAGATGCCTGTGTGTTAAGAGCCTCGCGTACTGCAATTGCAACGCTATGCAAATGTAAGGTGATATTCTGAAGACTATCCGGAGTGCCTGCCCTAATCTGCATGCAGCCTGGTGCATACCTTCTGTCTCGGAGTCTTCTGCTTTTTGAAGTAACCCTCCAGGGTCACAGTCGCACAGGGAGGCAGGGAGGGGCAGGAAGCCTTTGCCTCGTGGTAGTCAGGGCCTGTGAGCAGCAGTGCTCATCGGCTTTCTCCTTGTCCTTTGCTTTGACACGCATGAAACTGATGGGAGTTAAATCCCTGTTTGGTATTCCTCCCGTGTCAGGCCGTAAACATTGAGGCGGAATACAATTGCAGTTGGCTGCGGTACTTGATTTGATTTCTGCGTTCTTGGAGGTAGACTTTTTTTTTTTAAGACCACAAGGAGTCGTTTTATTCTAAATCATATGCAGATTTGCTTTACATTTTTAAACAGATGCCCCCGTTGCTACCTAACTGTAAAATCCATAGCACTAGCTTGGACCTGGCTGACTGCATGCCTCGCTTGCAAATGACCATTATCACTTCTTCTAGCTGAGGCAGGCAGGCTGGAGTCCCGGAGTTGTCCTGGAGGGGGCTAGTGCAAAGCATCTCATCAGCTTGACCTTGGCACAGCCTTGACCCACAATGGCTTCTATGGGAATTCCTGTCCAACCCCTACATCCCTGTAAGATGCAGCTTCCACAGTCTCAGTTCATTTCAGCCTCTGCTATCCTTCTGGGGATGCACAAGCCACCCCGAGGAGCCACTGCCTAGCACTGGGTGCCCCAAAGTGGCTTTGGATAGGCAGTGTCCCAGAGAGGAGTGTTCTGGAGTGGTGAGGTCCAAGGCAAGGTTGTCTTCATGAGGAGTCTGGAGCGCTAAGGGGCCCAGGGTTCTCTCCTGTGTAATGAGAAGAGAAGGGGAGGCAGAGGTGGGGCTACTGGAGAGCCAGGGAGCAAGGACTACCTGGTGGGGGAGGGTGTGCCATTACACCTTGACCCAACTTCCGACCTCCAGCACCTTTTCCAAATGCAGGTTTCCCGGAAATTACAGTGTTCCTATGAAAACAAACTGGAGTAGCGCGTACACACCAAAAAGCAAACCAAACCGAACTCATGGCCATCGAATCCATTCTGACTTCTAGTGACCCCATAGGACAGCATAGAACTGCCCCTGAGAGTTTCCGACACTGTAGCTCTTGAAGGGAATTGAAAGCCTGCTCTTTCTCCAGTGTAATACCTGTTGGATTTGAACTGCTGACCCTGCAGTTAGTAGCCCAATGCGTCACCACTTTGACACCAGGGCTCCTAAAGCATAGAAACAATTGTCATTCATTGTATGGGAAACTTTGTGAGCCTTCCTAGACCCCCAATCCGTACCAAAGAACACATAAACCCTTTAACACCGACACAAAATCTTCACAGGCACCATTCAAAGTCATGGCAGTATAAAAGCCTTTCTGGATTTATTTCTTCTTTCTTTTTCTAAACGTTTAAATCTTTCAAAGGCTGCAGAATGACTGGTGGGTTCGAACCACCGACCTTATGATCAACAGCTGTCAGATATCTTTTGAAAGCAGAAAACAGATATTAACGTGGATCTTGGTTAAAAGGGAAGTGGAGTAAAGTGGACTTTGAAAAGGTGGGGGGTCTCAGTACATGACTTAGGTCCCTCTGTGTATTTGATCCATCTTCTGGTTCGGAGCCATTCACTTGCTCTAATGCTATCGGCCTGGCTCAGCTGGAGCGTTTGTGACCCCAGCCAGACAGCAGGCCTCCTGAGCACCAGATGACCATGATCACGGGCGCGATGAGGACCCTTCTTTCTGGATAGAGCTTTACAAGGATCTCCCCCGCTCCCGACCTCCAGCTGTGCGGAAACTGGCGGGGATGAGCACCCCTGTGGTCTCAGGCAAAAAACAAGTGGACGCATTCTGCAATTTCATTATCTTCCTTTGCCCATCTCTATATATTTGGTTAAAATTTCCAACAAGGAGAATAGGCAAGAATGTGTGTTTCGCTTGTTTTACAAGCCATGGGAGCTCAGGAAATCAGCCTTTGGCGCAGGTGGCCTGTGTGCATAGGATGCAGAGTGTTGGACTGGTCCTTCTTCTGCACAGCAGCACTGTCCACAACTGAGACCCATTTCAACGTCTGACAGGACTTTTATTTTTATTTTTTTTTGGTGGGGAGTGGGGGGTAGAGCGGAGTAGACTGTAGGATTTTTTTTTAAAAAGATCATTTTATTGGGCACTCTTACAACTCGTATAACAATCCATACATCGATTGTATCGAGCATATTTGTACATATGTTGCCATCATTATTTTCTAGACATTTACTTTCTATTGAGCCCTTGGTATCAGCTCCTCTTTTTTCTCCCCTCATCCTACCCCCATGACTCCTTGATAAATTATAAATTATTATTATTTTCATATCATACACTGACTGCTGTCTCCCTTCCCCCATGGTTTCTGTTGTTCATCCCCCTGGAGGGGGGTGTGTGGCTATGTGTCGATCATTGTGATTGGTTAACCCTTCCTCCCCTCCTCTCCCCACCTACTTCCTACCCTCCTGGCATTGCTACTCCCAATCCTGTTCCTGATTCCATGTGTCTCCGATCTCTTATCTGTACCTGTGGACCTGCTCCAGTCTAGTCCAAAGTGAGAGGCAGCACTGGGGTCATGACAGTGGGGGGTAAAGAAGCCTCAAGGAACCAGAGGAACACTGTGTTTCATCGGTGCTTTACTGTGCTCTGGTTGACTCATCCCTTCCCCGTGACCCCTCTGTGGGGGGGATGTCCCACTGTCTATAGATGGGCTTTGAGTCTTTGCTCTGACCCCCCTCGTTCTCCACAATATGTTGTTGTTTTCCTGAGAGGACTTTTGAAAGTACCTCAGACAGTCTCCCTCCTCCCTCTCCTTGCTCTGTCTCCTTTTCCTTCCCCGGCTGTCTCTTGGAGGAAGTCAGAGCCTGGGAAAGCGGCCTCACAGCCCAGCTCTGCCACTTCTTCGGTTTGATTTATTGTGGTAAAAGACATAATAAAATTGGTCCTTTGATCCATTTTTAGGTGAGGTTTTCACTGGCATTAATGACATTCACAACTCTATGCACCTATCAGCACCATCTATTTCCAAAACATCATCATCATCCCAGACAGACATTTTGACCCCAGGAAGCAGAGCTCTGTTTTCTTTGCTCCCTGCAGCCCCTGGGGACCTCCGATCTCCTTCCTGCCTCTGTGATTTCACCGGTTCCAGATATTTCACATAAGTGGGATTATGTGATGTTTGTCCTCTCATGTCTGACCCATTTCACTCACCATTATGTTTTCAAGGTCCATCCATATCGTAGGAGGTGCTAGAATTCCATTTCCTTTTATGGATGGATAATGTTTCTTTGTATTGTTTCTTTATTCATCTGTTGGTGGAGACTTGAGTCGTTGCCACCTTTAGTCTGAGCCTTCTTGCTCCCTTCTCCTTAGACCCATTACCACCGAGTCAATCCCGGCTCAGAGCGACCCGACAGGACAGAGTAGAACTGCCCCCTAGGGTTTCCCAGGCTGTAATCTTGACAGAGACAGACTGCCACATCATCCTCTCATGGAACAGCTGGTGGGTGCCAACCTCCCATCTTTCCTTTAGCAGCTGAATGCTTACCCACTGCACCACCAGGGTTCCCAACAGACAAATCATCTCCTATCTCTGAGCCTTAGCTGCCTCTTCTGCAAGGGTGGGAGGAGCAAGCTGCTTCGTAAGGACATGGGGAATCCGCTCAGAACCCTCCCTCCTCTGCCCTTCGAGTCAGCTTTGCTTCATAAGCTGTGAGGACAATGTGAGCTGGCGCCCAATTCCAGTTGGCACAATAAAGCTTGAGGCTCTGAGCCATTGAAGGTCTTGTGTACAAGTTCTCACCAGCTTGCCAGTGGCAGCGCTAGAGACATGACCCAGGGCTGGCACCTGTTTATCTTCCTCAAAGACTGTGCCTACCCACTTTCCTCTTGACATCAGATCAGCTATGTTTTATAGACTATCTCACTCCTTCTTCCCCCACCCACCTCCATGTCCTACAGGCATTTATGTTTGAGTCGTCCCTAAGTCTGGCTGTCACCAAGTGGGGGCTCAAGATTGCCAATTGTATGGATGAGAACTACCACAAGTGCTGGGAACCTCTCAAGAGTCACTTCACCCCCAACTCCCGGAATCCAGCAGCACCCTAGAAGATTTCTAGCACACGGGAGAATGGATTTGCAGTTTTCCTCAAGAATCTTGGGCCCTCGAGTAGAATTGGAGGAAGGGCCTGGTCAAAATGAGAATTAACTTTGTCTCTGCCAAGTAACATGAAATATTTGCAAAAAAAAAAAAACATGCTTGGAAAATTCTATGGCTGACAGTTTAATTACTCAATAAATAATGTCTGCTGTTTTGTGGCTTTTTGTCTTGCTTGCTGCCAATAAGTCCGCCCCGACCCATGGGGACCCCACGTACAACCGAATGAAAAGCTGCCTGGTCCTGCGCCATCTGCAGGACCCATTGCTGATGAGTCCAATCAAAGCATGGTGAGCTGGAGGGAGCTCACGGGCTGATTATTTTACAGGCGGGCCACCAGGGTTTTCTTTCCAATCTGTCTTAGTCTGGAAACTCCACGGAAACCCACTGAGCGCCGTAACAGCATGCAAGTCTCCACGGACAAATGGGTGGTATTTGCCAGGCATGGAACCGGCCCGTGGTGAGGGTTCCATACTAGAAGTGGTGATTAGTCATCAGGAAGCACATTAGTAGCAGCCAGTACCTGGGGGAAAAGGGGACTTGTGAGTTTGTGCTGAGACCAGTGCTCCTTCGCATGAGCTTGACTTCAAGGCTTAGATTCAGGGACCACTAGTCCAGGGTGTCTACCAGGCCACAAGAGATGACAAGCCAAGCATAAGGACCATGATGGAGGCTAGAGCGTGGGATGGTGCAGGACTCAGCTCCAAACAGCCAGCTCTCAGCCTCCAGTAGAGAAGCCACCCGACCAACAGAGAGCCCATGATGGACAAGAAGCCCAGTTACCAAGAAGTGAGAATCATTCTTAAAGAATGATTCTCATTAAGAATGACCCAATGCCTGAGGTTGCCCAGGACCACCCCAATGTTCACTCTGAAAGTCCTTGGTCCCAGGGCAAACTAGGACAGGTAGTCACCCTCTAGTCACTCACTCATTCATACCTCTAGGAACCATGCATGAGCCCTTCCTCTGGTCTAGCCACAGAGTTAGATGTGGGCAAAGGTATTTCAAAAGGAAGGGGCCATCAGTCTCTCATTAGGGAGCTCACAATCTGAGGAGATGGGCCCACAACAAAGGGAAGGTGACCATGTAGTAACTCTAGGAAAAGCTTAAAAGCCTTGACAAGAGTGAAGCCATTTTGAGCCATTATGAACTGTAAATGAACTAGCTATGAACTGTAAATGAACTAGCTGATATTGGCGGGGGGCGGGGGGGTGGGGGGTAGGCTGTGCAGACATAGTGCACAGTACCAAAGGAAATGTATGTTCAGAAGGCTTGCGAGAATGACCAGAGCAGTTATTGTTCAACTAAGAACAGTTATTTTTCAACTAAGAATGGCTAACCGCAATATCCCGCTTCTGTACTCTGCTTGCTTGTATACCTGCACATTGCAAAAGTATAAAAACCTTTGGAAAATTAGACTGGAGGCTACCCAGTCTCCTCTCAAGAGGGCTGATGGTCCCTGCGCAGGAAATAAAACTTTTTCTTTTGAACTTGTTGGCTCTCTGGGTTGTTTTCTTTCTGGGAACGGACAGTAGACTACAACAAGCAGTGTTAGAAAGCCCCTCCTTATAACTCCCAAAGGCCTCTGGGTGGCAAAAAGATTTTTGGCTCTAACACTCTAGACTCTACCACTAAATGTTGGTGCATGAACCCACCCAGAGGTATTGCAGGAGAAAGGCCTAGAGATTTGCTTTTGTAAAGATCACAACTAAGAAAACTCTAGTTTTCTCTGTAACACATTTGGGTGTTACATAAAGCTCAGTCCATTCTATGACAGTGAGTTAGAGCTCCCTTTCTCTGGCCTACATCCTTCGGAGAGGACCGGGCTGCTCAAAATTTTAGGTATGAGTTCTTGAGGTTCTCCGCGAGTGAGAAGACAGAACAGAACGTGGTAGGAAGTGATATTTATTGCTACTTTAGTTCTACAGTCTCTGTACCCCACCCCCACCCCACCCACTTTTTTTTACCATAGTAGCAATTTGGGTGGGCTACTACCAAGAGGTTTTCATTCACAAAGCCGTAGGGTGCCAGTCCGCTGAAAATCAGGGCTTTTGAGATTAGAGTTGCCAAATCAAATGTAAGATGCCCGGTTCAATGTGAATTTCAAACAAGCTGCAAATAATTTTTAGTATGAAGTATGTCTGTGCAATATTTGGAAGGCATGCTAGTGGCACAGCATGGGAAACAGAAAGATTTCTTCCAAGTTGTCTTCCCTAAATATATGCCAAACTTAGCTGCTTGAACGTGGCAAATGACTATACACTTGGAGGTCAACAGAAATAGGTCAGGGGTTATTCTCCCTAAGGGTTATCAGCCATCTAGAGCAAGCAGTCACCACTGTTTATCCCACAACAAGTAGGACTCACTCCCTTCTCATAAGGATAGTAGTTGACTGTTTCCTTGTAGTAGACCCCAGAGAGGTCAAGCCCACCCAAGGGTGACCAAGGTTAGGCTGCCATCATGAATCTAGGGTCCGCCCTTCTTGTCACATGTATACCCCTAGTCCTTCCCCTTCCTATCATGTGTCCACCCCTAGCTCATCCCCTTCCTGTCACACTTATCCTATTGTACAGCCTCTTCATATGATGTGTAATGCCTATTATACATCCCCTTCCTATGATGTGTATGCCTATTGTACTGCCCCTTCCTGTGACGTGTGGTTACCTGTAATCACACCCCCTGAAGTGGATACAACCCTTGGTTAGCAATAAATGGGGTCCTCCAGCCTCCTGCTGGGTCTCCAACCGGCTGCAGGGTCTCTGCTCCACCTCGCCTCGGCCCACGCTGTGCACAGAAGGACCTGTTCGGTCAGATCGTGGCCGTCCAGGAGGTGAGCATGCTCCCATGAAATGTGTCTGACTTATTTGACTCTCTTCTATCTCTCATGCTCTTTATGACTTTATTATAATCTTTATGTATCTCAACCGTACAATTGAGCCTTATGGATCAGTGATGATTTGTTGGGGGCCCTCCTTGCCCCCACAGCAGAAAGTGAGCAGGCAAAACCCGCTGCTGTTGGGTCTGTCCCGACTCACAGCAGACCTGTAGGACTGAGTCCATCCATTCTGTGGGGCTCCATGACTAAAGCTGTCTGGGAGCAGACCGCTTCATCTTTCTTCTGCAGAGCAGATGGTGGGTTCAAACCATCCACCTCTTAGTTAGCAATCCAGCCCTTAATCCATTGTGTCACCTGGACTCCTAGGGCACGCTTTAATACTAAAATGTATTTCAGTTTGTCTGAAATTCAGATTTAACTGGGTTCAAATCTGCCAGCCGCCCCACAGGAGACAGATGAGGATTTCTGCTCTGGTGAGTGTTTATAGCTTCGGAAACCTACACGGGCAGTTCTATTATGAGATGGAATGGTACTGTGTTGGGTCTTAGTGTTCAACGAATTTGTACCGCCCAAGTTCTCCAAAGCTATGTAAACTCACTGCCATCGAATCGATGGCCACACATAGTGACCCTACAGGCTGGCGTTGAACTGTCCCTGTGAGTCTCCGAGTCTGTGACTCTTTATGGGAGTAGAAAGCCTTTCTGTTTGGGTGTGGCTAGTGGTTCCAAACTACTGGCCTTCCAATTAGCAGCAGTTAATAACTTTAAATTGAAACTGTAATTGACCACTGTAGCCGAAGCTACCAGTGGCCCACCCATGTTGGCATGGCAACCACTCTGACTAACCAGCTGCTTCCCACTGGCCAAGCCAAGAGCTCTTGGACTGTGGCTGGAACCAGAGCCTCCTAGGTGACTAGCCCTGAGAGGAGCCCTCAGCCAACGACAAATGGAAAGTAGTGGCTTGCTGCTCTAGCTCCTGCCCCAGATCTCTGCGGTGGGTGGGGGGTGGGGTGGGTGAGGGAGAGGGAGGGTCCTGCCCTGGATCCCTGAGGTCCTCAGATGGACAACTACTCATTGTTGTCTTCCACCATCACCCCGCCTTTGGCTCTCCGAAGGCGCTTCTGGGGCCTTCCCTCAAACCCTAACTAAGACAACCGCTCAAGTAGTTTCTTCACAAAACCGAGTCTTTCCTTTATGGGTTTAGTGTCTAATCTTATTCTAAGTAGCAATGGTTTTCATGCCAGGTTGCTAACAGAAAAACTGGAAGTTCCGATCCACAGAGGCTCCCCAAAAGAAAAGCCTGGGATCTACTTCTAAAACTCCAGCAGCGAAGATCCCCAGCCCCCAGCTCTACAAGGCCACGTGTGGGCCATCCATTCAATGGCGACTTGTTTCAGTGTCTACCTTTGCCTAAGTGCTAACCACCCCATTTCCACTCGCGCAGTCCAGGTCTGGTACGCGGAGCCGAGTGAGTGCAGCCTCGGGCTTTGCCTCCACTTGGCACGCAAGCCCTTGTACTGCATCTCCTCTCTGCTGGCAGGAACTCCCCAGCGAGAGACAATATTTCTCAGACCAGGCGGTCCGTGCTCATTAAAAAAAGATTTAGTTTCCTTCTCTTGTGCCTCCGATCAGCTAGTAAGCTCTGTATCATGTTCTTAATTCCCTCCTTTCTAGGATCCTTTCCTCCCCATGCTCCCCAAGAGATACACCACCTCCTTGCTGGTGGCATGGTGGTTACTCACGTGGCTGAGACCCATGGGAGAAAGACAGGGCGTGCTACTTCCCATCAAGACTTACAGCCTTGGAAACCCACAGGAGCAGTTCCACCCTGTCCTATAGGGGTCACATGACTCAGCGTCCACTCGATGGCAGGGAGCGTTGCTTGTAGTGCTTTCAGGGGAAAGCCCTGGTTAGGTTTCCTCGGGTGACAGGTCCTCTTGGCATCTTGATAGGAGACGGCTTCAAAATGTTCATGGGGGTGAAAACTCGAATTGAAACAAAATAAAAATTCCATGAACTCTTCAAAGCCCCCTCATCGATGCTCCTCTTGCAGCAGGGTGTCCTTGCCACCACCCTTCTCTTTCTCTTTGTTGGAAAACATCTCTCACGGCCCAGCGACTGACAATGGCTCCAGACCAAGGACTCTCAACCGGAGTGACGATGACTTCCACCCCTGAAAACATCATTCAGCCAAGTCTGGAAACAGTTTTATCATCACAAATTGGCGTGGGGAGAAGGCGCTTCTGGCTTCTGGTGGGTGAAAGCTAGAATGAGGTTCTACAGTGCACGGGATGCTTCCACGACCACGGCCACCAGCCCGGCGGCG